TTTGCTGGAAACCATGGCACGTGTGTTAATATTTTGCATGTTTTAGTTAAAATTTAGTGCTGTGGTTTTGTTGGTCACTGAAAGAAATTGTCAAACTGGCAGAAAATTTGGACATCACAAAATCTTCCCAATAAACTGAAAATACAGAGTTAGCCTAAATAGGTCAGATGGACTAAATGGACTAAAATATGCTTTTTCATTCAGAGGAGTGAGTGCTTTGAAACCCCTTATGACAACAAGGAATTCATAATAGTGTTAGTTGATAATTCACAAACCATAACAAATTAAAGTAAGTGCAGCAAGTATTTGTAGAACATATTTGTACCTCTCTGTAGGGCAAGATGTCTTTTAGCTGAGGAAGGCCAGACTAACATAGGTGAAACACTAGAACATGGGTGCAAGGAGACAGTGGAAAGACGCTGAATAATGTTCAGCTGAACTTCAGCCCAGAAAAGGGGCATTTACCAAAGCTGAGAAAGACTTATGGAAGAGAACTGTCTTAGTTGGATCAGGCATAGACTTGGGTGACTTAAACATTTATTTCTTATAGTTCTGGAGGTTGGGAAGTATAGGATCAAGGTACCAACAGATTCTATGTTTAATGAGCATTCCTTTCTAGATTCACAGGCAGTGGTTTTCTTGCTATAGCCTACATGGCAGAAAATGGGAGAAAGAGCTTTTTGGGGCCCCCTTACAAGGTCACAATCCTGTTCATGAGGAATCTTCCCTCATGATTTAATAAATTCCCAAAGGCTGAATTTCCTCATACCATCACTTTGGAGGTTAGGATTTTGTATATGAATGTTGGGACAATACAAACATTCAGTCCAGGATTAGTAGGTTTGAATGGCATCCTGATTTTGGATGTATAGGGAAGAGAGAGGAGGGTACTTTAGGCAAGAGAAACGATGCAAGGCAGAACCATGCATTAGAAGTGAGAAAGAAAGACCTGACTGCAATAAAGGGTTTATGTGGGCTCAGCAGGCAGGACAAGGTGATGGGAGATCTTGAAGCCTCTGAGGGAAGAACTTAGAGTGGGTTCTTTAATACAGACCAGAGGAGCCATTGCAGGTTCCTGAGTAGAGGTGTGCTATGATATTTAAGAGAAAGTATTTACTTTTGTGCCTTGATCGTGTTGATGAATTTATTGAGTGCTTTCCGTTTCTTTCTTTTTTCCTTTGTAAATTCTCCAGTCCTCTCTCATTTGCTATTGACTTCTTATATCCGCTGTAGCATGGCACATTCCCACATCCATCTGCCTTCTTTTTCCACTTTCTGATGGCTGAGTGAGGACACAACCAAAGGTGGGGTAGAACATTCACATAATCATTGGACCACCTGCTGCTGGAGCACCCTACAGAGACAAATAGGAAGCTTATGGCCCTAGCTCTCTGAATTCAGGTTGCACTAGACAGCAGTGGAGTTTCTCTGATGGGACACAATGCTGTCTCTACCCACGAGAGACAGCAGAATTCACAGCAACCATGCACGTCACAGTAAACTGGTCCTGTAAAGTGCACTGGTAGAGAGCTGGTGTAAACACATCCCTAAGCAGTAGCTTTCAGTCACATCTATCCACAGGATGTGTTTTATGCCCTAATTATTCTTTACTCTCCAAGTTCCAATTGCTCAGCTGTTTCTTCTACAGTCTGACCTATTTGAAGCCAAGCCTTTGAGAAAGATACACTTTCTATGTGTAATGGTTTCCTCCTGTAGCTCTACACAATTAAAGTCTCTGTGCTTCTCCCCACTTGCCTTGTAAAAAAATTTTAAGAGGAATATAGAGGGAAGGGAAATAAGCATTTTAAGTTTTAGATGTCTCCAAACCTATTCCTTAATTTGTAAAAGTAAAATGCAAACCAGGCATGGTGGCACACACCTGTAACCTCAACATTTGAAGGCTAAGGTAGGAGGATTGTTCAAGCCAAGCCTGGGCTACATAGTGAGCTGGTTCTAAAAAAAAAAAAAAAAAAAAACCACAGTCAAATGCATCTAACTGGGTGGAATATTTATAAAAATTGGAAGCTCTTTGTCAACTAAATCACATTTATTTAATCTAGTATTAGACTGCCTTTTTTTTTTTTAACCAGATGGAAAACATTAGCCGTAATAGTGAACAAACATCCAGGCTCCCAGAGGTCATTTTTAACCACCATTAACAATCTGGTTTTCAAAGATTAGTAATATACAGAAGGCAGTGGTCCAGTAAAAGATAAACAAACGCAGTCGAAGCTGTTTCTGTGCTCCTTATTTACCTAACATTTAAGCATTTTAAAAAGCTCTTTATAAGATAGATATTTGAATCGTCTAAGCTCTAAATTGGCAGATTTTACAGAGAAGTTGCCGTAAAATATCTGTTTGAAACAGACACTGATGCAAAATATGAATTAAACCTCTACAAAGCTGATGAAAAGAAAAGCCCATTAATGACGTCGCCAGCCCATTTTCCTGTGGCTAATATGTTTCTGTTTATTAGCTACTTATTTAGTGATTTCCTAACCCATATAAAGCTGCTAATTGTAAAGTGGAAACAAAATGAATTTTTATATATCGCATTTTACATATCATAATTTTTAAATTTAATTATCAAATTAAAATATAATAGAAGATAAATAGTTCGTGAAATGTACTAATGAATCAAAAAGATCTGGTCTATAACATGATAAGAGTGTAGCTTCTAGAATTGCCAGTTCAGGAACAAATTATCTCATTTAAATCGTATTTTGAGGGGTTGAGAAAGTTATAGATCGATAGTCTCATTATGCCCTGTAGATAAGCTCACAGATAGGTGTACGATTGTGTCTTCTCTTGGTCAGATGAGTGTTGTTTGAGTATGAAAATGCTACACATTTAGCTATATACTATAAAACTATACATGTATTTATCTTATTTCCAAATACCATTATGCTCAAAGCCAAGTATGGTGGCACACCTAGAATCCCAGCACGTGGGAAACTGAAGCCAGCCCAGGGTAGACACAAGATTCTGTCTCAGACAATAAAAGACTGTTATGTTGGTTGGCATATTATTGATTTGTCATCAGCCTTCATATTACTCTTCTTTTAGATAATAGTGTTTTTAGGAATTATATTGAGGTCTATATTTAAAATGCTTCACAGATATTTCCTTATTATTTTCTTATTATATGGAGAAGAAAGCCATAGTATCTATGTTTGAGATTGCACCTGAGTCTACAGAGAGAGGTCATGTCCAAGACGAGTGGAAAAGAATGTGATTTGGCTGAGTATTAGAGAAAACGCCTGTTACTAAGGAACATAGGGATGCAATGGTATTATTAGGCTTCATCCCTGCTGTGCATATGTTCTGGAATATTTGCCTCTCTATCTGTGTAACATATATGTATTTACATACACTTGACCGTGTGCACACTCCAGACAGTCTGGAAGACAGGAAAATCCTCAACACTACATTATAGGCGGAATGTAGAATTGTCACTTTATAATGTCATGTAGAGGATTTTTGTCTGTCCATGATACTATAGTATATGTTGCTACTTTAGGGAAAATTCTGCTTTCCTCCTTATAGAAATTTTTACCTTGACAATGAAATCTCCCAATATTCCTACAAGTGCCTGGGGCCATTACATTCCATTCCTTGCTGAGGGAAATGAATAGTGAGGAGAGAACTGAAGTGATGAATTCTGGCCCATGCCGTAATTTAGAATTTACAACCTCCTGGGGTTGCTTTCAGTAGCAACTGAAGACACTTTACTGAGGGTTTCCTGTGTGTCCAGCACTATCAGGCACTGGCCTGATACAGAAAACACAGTAGCACAAAGCCTAGTGGGTGAGGAAGGGAAGCAGGCAAACAGCATTGTGCCTGAGGCCTGTACAAGGTGCTCTGGGGACACAGAGGAGGGGCCAGTCCCTAGGGACACGGAGGAGGGGAAATCTATAAAACCTTCCCAGAGTGCCTTTATCGGCACTACCACATCTCTTTAGACAAAAGCAGAAAGCTTAATTAAATTATGTGGATATTGCAGAAACCCATTTTACATTTGAAAATATAATTGTCTGAAATTAGTTGAATGAGTGGATTTCTTTGGTGTACTTAGGTTTTCTGGATTATGTAGACTCAATTTACTATAGTTAAGTACATTTTTGTATCTTGCCATCATGCTAATTGGCACATAAGCAAAACAGGAAAGAATAACAATCTAATTGTTATCCAAAATATAGTTTGGTTGGTTGATTCTGTTTTGGTTTGATCTTGATACTGGATATTGAACCCAAAAAACCTTATGCATGCAAAATGTGTGCTTTACCACTAGGCTACACCCTCCTACTCCTCCCCCAGCCCCCACACACCATTCATCCAAGATGAATAGTTAAGACACCATCAGCAAACAAGTAAGTATTTGCAAACCAACAGATAATTTACTTCACATCTGTTTTAAATTAATTAAAACAACACCACTACAAGAAGATCTAGCCATCAATTACTAGGAAACTCTCCAGTCTCATCAATGCTCCAAAGGATAATTGATGACCTCCTCATACTTCTTTTTTACTCCCCCAAATTTTTAAGGCCCAAAAAGTTTTGGAGGGTTCTGCCTCTGCGATGTTAAGGGCCTTCCTATTAAAACCAGGTTTCCTCACTTCAAGAAGGTAAGGGACTCTGGTCACATTTCTACCAGAAATCTTGACTGGTCCAGCATCCTTTTTTTGCCCATTCCAGTAACTACCTTTGTTGTAAAGGATGGTTAGTGGTGGGAAGCAAGGAGGCAGGCTAGCTTCAGGATTGTGCTTTCATAAAGCTGTCATCCAAAGGCCAGGCAGGCTCTGTCCCCACTTTCTGTAGTCTTCTCCACAGTTCAGGGGAATTGTACAAATGTGAACAACGTTTGGTTCTGAAGACTTCTAATTTCATGTTATAGCAAATAAACTCTTTGAGATATTAAAAGAAAATAAAAAGAAAAACTTTCAGAAAAATACCCTATACAAAACTAATAATATTTTCTCTCTCTTTTTCTTTTAAAGGTGAACACACACAAGAAACTAATTCACCTCATTCACTCAAAAAGGATGTAGAAAATATGGGAAAAGGTAAAGAAAAGTTTTAATTCTCTAGGACTTCTCTTAGGCTTTTCAAGACCCTGGAGATAATAAGAGGATATTTTTGCTCTATGCCATATTTTAAGCTTGACAAGCAACATATGAATAATATATGGACTGTTGGATGGATATAATTGAGATTAATGCATACATATCAATCAACACACGACACTGTAATACAATACTTTAAAATAATATATTACATTGATTTATATGCATGGATTTCTGCACAAATCTACCCTATGTCTGTGCAATACTTTTAAAACTGGTAAAATATTTTGTCTTATAATAATAAATTGCCATATATAATAGTCCTCTGGAGAGTTATTTATAAAGATTAGTAAAATGACTCTTCTCTTTTTCTCTATTAGAAGAACTTCAGAAGGTTTTATTTGAGCAAATAGATTTACGGAGACGACTAGAGCAAGAATTCCAAGTGTTAAAAGGAAACACATCTTTCCCAGTATTCAGTAAGAAATCATTTTCATTTCATTTCATTTATGATAGTTGATGACATTTCTATTATTAGGCTTAAGAATGTGATTCTCAGTATTAAGTGATTAAGTACAAACCTCACAGTCTTCTCAGTTTCATAAATTTTTATCTCTTATTTATGCTTTGAATTAGCTCACAGATGAAATTTCTTATAAGAATCTTTTGCCATTTATGCATTGATATATGTGCATCTGCGTGTATATTGTATATATTAAAAATATGTATATAAACATAATTATATTCTGATAGTCTGATATACTTAGATTTTATATTTTAAAACAAAACAACTAGTGAGGTATTTATCATTCTCTAAGGTAGGAAAAGCAAAAGATCATTAACTTTTTTATTCTCAGATATCTCTGAATCACTGCCTAGTGCTAAGACACATATAAACATGAAGAATTAAACTTTAACAACTCAATGTACACAAAGCTACTTTATTGCAGTAGTCCCTCCTCATTTTGGGGGAATATGTTCTTGGAGGATGCATGAACATATATATACTATGATTTTTCCTGCATATCCATATCTATGATAAAGTTTAATTTTACAAAGTAGGCACAGTAAGAGATTAACAACAATGATTAATAAGAAAAATAAAATTAGCCTGACGCTAGTGACTCATGCCTGTAATTCCAGCTACTTGGAAGGCTGAGGTCAGAAGGATTGCAGCCTGAGGCCAGCTCTGGCAAATAGTTTGCAAGACCCTCAACTCAAAAAAAAAAAAGCAAAACAGCAAAATGGACTGGAGGTATGGCTCAGGCTGTAGGGCACCTGCTTTGCAAGTATGTAAGCCCTGAATTCAAACCCCAGTCCCACCAAAAGAAAAAAAACAAAACAGAATTATAATAACATACTACAATAAAAGATAATTAAAATTTATGGATTATAGATTTGTGGAATTTTCTATTTAATATTTTGGGACTGTGGTTGACCTTGGGTAAATGAAACTGAGGAAAGTGAAACCAGAGTTGTGGGGAAGGAGACTTTAAAACTGGCATAATTTTAATTGTTTTGCAGTCTCAACCTATATTTAATGTTAAAATTAGATTCCAAATGTGAGAGCAGGAAATGCTGTAGCCTGATAGCTATTGTTCTGCTCCCAACATCTTAGAATTTTAGAAACTTTGTGGGAGATGTCCAGGTTTCTAAAATTCACCTGCTATGGTCTGGGTTACATTTGGACAAATACATCTTAGGAGTGTTTTTTAAGCTTTTTGGAGTCATAGCTCCCTCTTTGGAGAAAGAAAAGTGAGAGAGAAAATAGTATGCCTTAGGGCTGGAGGAGTGACTCAAGTGGTAGAGCTCCTGCCTAGCAAGCATGAAGCCCAGAATCAAACCCCATCCCACAGTACCACCACCACCAATAAAAGGTCAACTTTTCAAATTATCTAAATTTTCTTTTTTTTTTTAACTGTTGTGTTAGGTGGGGATACATTGTGGCATTTACAAAAGTTCTTACAATATGTCAAATATATCTTACCTGAATTCACCTCCTCCACTATTCTCCTTTATCCTCCCCTCTCCCCATACCTGGAACAGATATTATTTTAAACTTACATACATGTCTACACAGTATTTGCACTATATTCACCTCCCACACCCTTTCCCCACCTCCTCCCAAACTATCTAAATTTAAAATGAATCTTTCTGAGATGCTTCTTTAGAATGTCAGCATGTCCCCTATTATTAATCAGGGCATCTCAAGAGTTGAGTTGGCAATTCTTGTGCCAGAGCCACAGATCAGCATCTGGAAGAATTTCCAGTAACTCTGAACACTTCAATCCTATGAGCCTAAAGGTCTGCATGCTGCATGCACCAACGCTTCCCGGATGCAATGGTCAACACAACTGAAATTCGGACTCGAGGACCATTTGTGAATAGTACCAGGTTTCTGGCCACCTGTCAGACTGAGTGGGGAGCTCAACACAAAGAGGTAACTGTGTGATGGAAGGGAACGCTGACCACGGGAGCAGCAGGGTCTGCCAAGTTTATGATCTCACTGGAACAACAAGAAAGGTTTGGGGCCCCTGGGGGCCTCAGTATTTTGAATCCAGAGAATGTCTCTGAGCCTAGAATAAGATCGAAAGTAGAAGAATAGCCAATAGCTTTTGATAGTCAATTTAGGAACATCATGACATTTGTAAGTTTGAGAAAAGAAAAGCATATTGAAAACACCTTTAATGCCTTAAGAAACTGGTGTTTTGATAAGATCCAGGATTCTGTAACTTCTAAAACCACACTTTAAGACTATATCTTATAGTTCCTTGCAGCAATGAGCAGTGAATTACTTGTGTCCCCATAGCTGGGATTTACCTAATTATTGAGTTTGCAAGTCCCTGCTTTTAGATCCAGCAGAATGGGTCCAGGTCCTATTGAATCCCCAGGAAGCCAGTGTAGTCATAACTTATTATATTAATAAGAGCTAATTAAAGAATCAAGTAATTCACAATAATTTATATATTTTCCTTAGTAACTGCTCCATTATACACCATGTACAACAGGTTTCTGTTTTTTTTTAAAAAAATGTTAGTGTCACAATTGACCACTCACAATTCAGACCTGGCATTCATCATTTTGATCTGAATTAATAAGAATCCTCTGTGATCTCCACATACAATTTAATGAAATGAGACACAATTTAAACAACAACAAAATTTTCAACTTTTTTATCTGCAATATGCTGCATTTCCAAAGAAGTGGCATGTGTGCGCCCAACTTTGACTAATGGGTGGTTTCCACACACCACAAAGAGGCAGTCAATTTCACAGGGATAAAAATAGCACATGCACTGTCATGTGCTTGTTAACTACATGTGAAGGGCGAGGAGGGCTAGCAACAGACATAGATTCGCTCAGATGAAAAAAGGAAACTGAACTCTATAAAGCCACAATGGAAGGAAGCATAGAGGAATCCCAGCATGAGTCCTGTGAAGCTTTTTGTCAGGAGGTGGAGTGCATTCACACTCACAATCCAGAGCACTGGAGGGCTAGGCTAGGAGCTGAAGGTTGTGATGATTAGGAAACCAGCCTGAAAAACCTGCTAGACGGAGTTCCATGCTCCTTGCAGGTTGCCTGACCCATAAGAAGAGAGGACTAAATGAGACAAAAATAAATGACTAATAATAATAATAAATAACTAAATAATAAATAAAGGACTAAATGGGCACAAAATAAGTGCTCAGCAAATGTCAACTGCAGTCCTGATGACATTATGAGGCAGGAAGACAAAGAGGCAAGCATAAGCATTGGGCACTAGAAAAGCTTTTCTAAAGTTGGAGCCAAGTATTGGGTTTTGGAAGCTTCCTATGGTTCTGAGGGTTAATGAGATCCACAGCAATGAATCCCAGGCACAGCGAGGGAACAGGTGAAAATTATAGAGAGGAGGAAAAGGAGAATAAACTGGAGGAGGAAGAGAAAGGAGAAGAAGGAAAGGGAAGAAAAAGGAAAAGAATGAAAAAGAGACGAAGAAAGAAGGAAGACGGAGGAAGGGATGGAGGAAGAAGGAAAAGGAGGAGTAGGAAGAAAAGAGGAAGGAGAAGTGGAAGAAGAGGAGGAGAAGAGGGAAACCAGCCTGCATCCTTGGTGGGAGGCAGAGGTTGGGAGGAGGAGGATGAACAAATCAATATCTGCCTGAGTTTCCCGATCTGTTCTCCGTGAACACTTCTACTTGGCCCTAATATGGAAATGCATATGGAATGAGGAGAGGAGCCTAACTGCAGGGAAGGCAGGCAGTTGCTAGAATGAGACAGAGGCACATGGTTCATAGCGAGAGTTCCAGGTTTGACTGCCACTGCCCCAACCCCCTTTGCTGGGTGACCTGGGCAGATTCCCTAGCGAGCGTTTTTCCCAACAGTGCAGCAACACTGCTACCTGCATCCTGGGGTTACTGAAAGGATTAAATGAGTGAAATGTGGATGTGTTGCAACTTGTTGCTACTATAGGCTGTTTCAACATTTGATGCTTACATTCCTGAAGGACTGTGTATTGTAAATCAGCTAGGATTAGAGGCAGACCTTCTACAGATTTCTCGGATTGTACTTATAGAAGGTAGAACAGGCAACAAAGCTTGTTTTGATACCAGACAATTAAGTGTCATTGATAAATTGGGTGGGACATGAGAAGAGGTGTTGGGAGGGCATCAAAAGGAAAGGTGAGAGAAAGGAACTCTGGGATTGGAGGTAAGTAAGTGTTTGGGGGCATGAATGAAGAGGAGCTCCCATTATCAAGATGGAGGTGACAAAAGCAAGCAAACATGTTCTGCAAATGTTGAACTGGAAAGGAGCAGAAAATTAAAGTGACCTCAAATGCTGCCATTCTGAAATCCCCCAAAATGACTGGTCTGATTGTTTTTGTGACTCTACATCCAGAAGTCATTGTTGCCACCACGTCCTGTCCACCTTCCCTAGGTAATCTGTCTCCTGTTTCCTCTCTTCCCCTTCAGCACTCTCTTCCTTCCTTTATTCAACATTCATCACATGGCTGCTATTTATTTATTTATATTTATTTATTTTACTTTCTTCCCACTAGCCATCTATATGGTCTCAGAGCCTGTCCCCACACCTGGGATCTACTAACCATGGCAAGGGATGTGGACTGTAAATAGGTGATCTTTGTCCTCACTTTGAGATGCCTCCCATCAGGTTCTTCTCCTCATCCAGGACACAGCACACATTTGCCCACCTCTAGGAAGCCTTCTCACCCTTGCAGCCGGCATCCTTTTTTTAAGCACTGCTCATGCTTATCTCAGGTTCCTTGGTGTTGTGTGCTGTTTGTCTTGGGTTACTCTCCTCTACCCCACTGTACTGTCAATAGACTCAGGAAAGTGCTACTCAGAATGCCTCTCTGTTGCCACTTCCAGCACCTGGAGTATTCTGGGTATGGAAGATGCTCTGAGAAAGTGGTTGATACAGATGTTAGTGTCATGTTCAAAGAGATTAAAACTGACCATAAAGGATAACACTGGGTCAGCCAAAACTGTTATGCAAAGGAGCTTAGCCAGGGATCCTTGGTTCTTAGTCCTTGGTTCTGCAGGTCTCAAGACAAATTCATGACCCTTGAGACTGAATGGTCAGTAGTTTTATGGGAAGGACTAATGAAAGGAGCTTGGTGATCACATTAGAAGATTTCATTTAAAATGGCATCTTTTAGATTCTCAAACAGAATTATTCTTCCAAATTATTACAATTGTTTTTAATTTTTTTGGTAGTACTGGAGTTTGAATTCGGGGCTTGTGCTTGCTAGGCAGATGGGCCTACTATGTGAGCTGCTCCACCAGCCCCAATTAGCTCTTATTAGAAACAAACTCCATCTCACCTACCTGAATCTGGCTGTCTGCATCTTTTATCTGTGGCTGTTACTGTGGATTCATTTTCTGTTCAGTGGTTCCCTTCCTTTCTTCCTTTCTCTTTTTTGTAGCCTCATCTGGAGGGGGAGAGGGAATGTGAAAATACTGTATAGATCAAAAGTTTCCAAGCCAGGCACAGTGGCTCACTCCCAGCTACTTGGGAGGCAGAGATCAGAAGGCTTGCAGTTTGAAGTAAGTCTGGGCAAAAAGTTACTGAGAGCTAATTCAACCAATCAGCTTGCCCAACTGTGAGAAGGCTCACAGTCCATTTAAGCCAGTCAGGGCAAAATAGTTTACAAGATCCTATCCCGAAAAAACCCATCACAAAAAAGAGCTAGTAGAGTGATTCACAGTGTAGGCCCCTACCAGAAAAAAAAACCAAAAAGGACTGGGGCTGGGGAGTTGGTTCAAGTGGTAGAGAGCACTTAACCTAGCAAGTGTGAGCCCCTCCTAAGAAATGTCTCCAGAGCTGTTTGAAAACAGTAATTAAAAAAATGAAGATGATGGAGACAAAACGATCCCCAAGGCCTATTGCTGGGCAAGTAGGGTTGCCCAGGCGAAGGCTGCAGACTTTGCGCTGCCGTTTGGCAAGCATGTTTTTTAGACAGTCCTCATTTGCAGTAAAGATCTTTGCCACTGTGCCTTCATGCATGTTGCACAGCAGTGTTTTTCTCTGCTACCTTTATACTACAGTTTTCCCAAAATAGTTGTGTTTTAATGATTCTCATTACAGAAACAAGCTTAATGATTTTTCAGATCCAATTATATCTTCAACAACCTGTAGAAATGGCAACACCTTTTAATATTTTTGTTCATTTGCTGAATGGCCAATCTTTGTATCTCAAAAATTATACACGTGGTTGTCATAGAAAATTTTAAATCTACAGAAGCACAAAGGGAAGAAAAGAAAAACATCACCCATAATCTTACTACCTAGCAATAACCAGTGTTAACATTTTGGAGTTTCGGTCTTTTTAATCTGTAGTATATCCTTTTTTTAAAGAAAGTAAAATATACACATCATTTTTTACTCTTTTTTCTACTTAAAATGTGACTCTTTGTTCAATTCCTAGTTCTGAAAAAAAAAAGCCTCTTTTTTTAACTATACAACAGTCTCTGATGTTAGACATCAGAGTTATGTCCTCTTATGTTAGACATGAGAGTTTGTCCACCCCTAATTGTCACAAATGTAAATCAAATTGCCATCCCCACTCTCCCCCACCACCAGCACAGGAGAGATAGGAAAGGTGCTTAGAGCCCAAATAAATTGGTTTACTTTGTCACCAAATCTTAATGTTAGAGCAAGAAAGGACTTTAGAGCATCATTTGCCACCCTTGATTCTTCAGATAAAAGTCTGAACCCCAGAGTGGGCCAGTCCCTGTCAATGACAGAATCCAGACTACTATGCTCTTTTCACTCCCCACACATTCATTCACCCCTGCTATATGCGAAGGTGGGCCTGGAAAAATTTTAAAGTGTCTAAAACTTAACCTTCCTGCCCTCTACAAACTCTCTGTGTAGCTGGAAGGCAGATGTATAATAACTGATAATATGTATTATGGATGCATTAACAGAGGTATGGATGGGTGCTAGAAGAGTACAAAAGAAAGGTGACTAGTTCTGGCAGGACGGACAAGAGAACTGAGGGACTTTCTGGAGGAGGTAACATTTGAACTAGGTTTTAAAGAAAAGAAAGGTACTTAATATAAAGATTGACTACCACAGAAGCAAAGGCAAAAATAGTGGAAGTATGATACTTGTTTGAGTACTGGAGAAGGCTTTGATGGGTGGTAGAGTGTAGGGGTTTCCTCCATGCCTTTCACTGCAGCCAACTGAGCCATTTGCAGTGGCTTTCTTCCTTCCACATCTCTGCAGGATGACACAAAGGAATGAGAGCTCTTCCCTCCATCCCATCCTTGCCCTGCCTCACATATTTCCCTCTACTTTAGTATCTGTCACATCACATTTAAAAAATATATAAATTACAACACATGGTTGGGGTTGGAGATAGAATTCATAGTATAGAAAGGTAGAAGTTAGACAAATTAAAAAAACAAAGTCTTTTCGTCTCTAAGTGCCCGGAGCTCATGAGTGGTAAAGCATTCGTTACCTTGAAAGTGATAGAAAGCTATGGAGACTGATGGGCAGAATGAAAGGGATTTGGAGGAGGACATCAGTCAGAAACCTGTTCAGGAAGAGGTGCCTGCTGGTGAGAAGTAACAGAATAAGGGAAGGATGGAGGGAGCACTCAGAGTATCCCCACACCAGCTTGTTAGCTGTAGATGTGAAACAGAAGAGAAAGGAAAAGGTGAAGGTGGAATTTCTAGTTCTAGCTGCAACCCTGCAGTTTGGAAAAACTAGAAATTTCAACCAGAAACACAGTATGGAATCCTGTTCATTTCTCCTTTAAAACAGAAAGAACTAAAAGTCAGCCAGGTGTACACTTTAGAAGATACAATGCCATGCTATACACTTGGAAGTCATTTCTTTCCTTAAATGAAATAAAAATAACCAATACATAGGATAGCAAAATGATTTTGTATATCAATACACCTTGAAGCTTTCTCTTCTCAGATCAAGGCCAAGTCTGTAGCACAGCACCAGGCCAAAGAGGAGTGATAACAGACACAGGGGTGAAGGCTTGCTGGTTGGGAGAGTCAGGCTAGAGTGCCAGAGAGATGAGCTGCAGGGAACCCACACTCATGTCCTGTTCACCCAGCAGGCATTACAGTCATGGCACTCAGCACTTCCTATGGCCAGCTATGTGAGGTCCACTTCCTCATTGGCTTTGGACATCTGAAGACAGTCCAGTTTCAGTGCTGGGACTGCACAAGTGTGCACAGGGTAGAGAGCACGATGGCACTGGACATTTGTGGATCACTCTCTGTGCAAGGGATCAGACTGAATGGGGTATGAGATACTGCGAAAAACAAGGCGTAGCTCTTATCCTCTCAGAATTTCCTGTCCATTTTAACTAAATTACAGAGTATTGAAAACATTCTTTCAAATAACCACAGTGCTAACTTTAAAAAAAGAAAGAAGACCTAAAGGGAATGGACGGGGTGGGGGGACTCTCTGTGGAATTGTCAATGATATTTTTGCTAGATACAATTGTCTCTCAGTATCCATAACAGGTGGGCTCTCAGACTCCCTGCAGATACCAAAATCTGTGGATATTCATGTTCCTTGTATAAAGTGGTGTAGTATTTGTATATTACCTCTATAAGCCTTCCATATACATAATCTTAAATCATCTCTGGAATACTCAGAATACCTAATACAATGCAAATGCTATGTAAATAGTTCTTACATCATATTGTTTGGGTAATAATAACAAAAACTATACATGTTCAGAACAGATGCAATTTTTAAAAGTATGCTTGATCTTAGATTGACTGAATGGATGAATACAGGACCCTTGAATGTGTGCACTAAAAGTCGGTTTTGTACTTTCATGAAATGCTTTCTCTATTTCTTTCTCCCCCCCAGATAACTTTCAGGATCAGATGAAAAGGGAACTCGCCTATCGAGAAGAAATGGTGCAACAGTTACAAATTGTAAGATGCATTTCTACTTAAAAATAAACTCCCTCCCAATCTGTATGAGATGTTCCTAATTTTGCCAGGAAATCCTTTGGTCCACTTACCTCTCAGCTGGTTGAGATGCTAATTACCAAGAGATTTACTTAGGCACAGGGTAAACAGATGCGGCAGTATATTTCCTCTAAATGTAACTACCTCCCATGTGTTAATAGACAGATGTGTGAATTGTCTCTGTGGGCGAACTAGAGGTACCTGCATTTTCTTCCACAGTGCAAACTTCAGAACATAGTGCTGGAATACAGCGGGGGCTCAGAGGAGAGCCACTGTCTTTCACCCTCCTCTCCTTTAACCAGCCAGGCTCAAAACGGTCAAAAGAAGTTAGTATCAACACAATTAACCAATTATATATACTTAAAGGATGATGAAAAGAAACAAATTATTTCCAAATGAAGTGTGTCACTCACTCTATGCTAATCATTCCTGCAAGTGATCTGTTTTATAGGGAAAACACCAGAAAGATGTCTTGTAAATGTAGTAGCTTTGTTTGGAGGTTTTGTTTGCTTTCTGAATTCCTCACCCTTTGTCCCCATGCTAACACATCTGGTACTATGCATTAGTGCTTTTAAATAAATCTCCTGTGCATCCTCATTTTTGTAAATACATTGGAGAGAATGATTTCTGCCCAATATTTTCGAGATATTTTTAATCACTGGGATAAAGGCATATGCTGCTCCTTAGTGGTGTTGCCAGCATGGTTATTGTAGTTTGGGTTGACTGACATCTTTGAGCTGATTTGTGTTACTCTTAGACCATTAGGCATGTGTCTCTGAGAGCCAGGTATCTAATTCTCTGTCAGAATTATTTAAGAAAGACAGTTGTTAATGTTTCTTTTCTGCCGTGGAGGAATCATGCCTGTGTTCACAGAGATTCCTGAGAATCATTTTTAAAGCAATATTGAGTTTCATTGTATTTTTCCATAAGCTGGGGGCTCAGTTAAAAGAGCTCCCACACATGCTGGGGCCCAAGCACTCACTCACTCACTAACAACCCTCAGCTCTGAAAACCCCTATGCTTGACAGGGGCTTTCTTCTTGTGTTGTTTTTGTGTGTGTATTAATTTTGCTTGCACCTAAATTCACTTGGGGAACAGAGTATTTTCTTAATAGATTGATAACAAATCCCCCACAGAGGGTAAAAAAAAAAAAGCCTATCTACTATTCGCAGCTTTTGATTTCTAGATAATAAGAGCTATAATTACTTGCTGTGAATACACTTAACTGTTTTCATCCTCCAAAGGAAGAATTTAAATATAGGGTTGGAGGTAGAGGGAATAAAATTTTAAGACCTTACTTATTTTGCAAGGGGCATCGACTTAATATTTTTTAAACAAAAATTGTCATACATGAAACAAAAATTTTTTGGCATCTCAGGTAAGTGGTGAATACAGCAGAACAGATGTTAGGAAAGGAGACTGAAAACTTGTTTCTAAGTCCATTTTTAAGGCCAGTTATGTAATTTTAATGTCTTAATTTTCTTTGACATTTGGTTTCTTTAGTAAAAGAGGAAATGATATTGAATCCCTGTAATAAGCAAGTACTATTAATAGAAGAAGAAAACTGTCTCATGTCTTTTGAGCTATTTGGTCCCTGGAAGACACAAAGTGATATTACTAAATGGTCTTATTACACTGTGTTACAAAATATTCTATCATCATGCATTCATCCATTTAGACAAGTGTTATTCATCCATATTCCTCTAGATAGTAAAGTATTCCTGGTAGCAAGTTAAACAGTTTGAGAGAAGGTAGAATTTTTCCCGTAGCCTTGTAGATATGATATAATTCCTGAAATTAAAAGAAAATACATCCAATCTAATAACATAAAAATTGGTACCAAGACATGATTTGTCACTCTGCTTCTTTCCCCTCTCTTGAGGTCCCTACCACAGGAGGCTCTGGGACACCAAGTTGCCCCCTAGGACAGTGCCCGGGATTGACTAGTTAGCAGGAGATATTTGTTGAATGAATCATCACCCATTAATCCCCTTGACTCAACTCTGAGTAGCAATTCTTGTAATTTCTTTCCAAATTTCCATGGTTTGGTCCTGATGCTTTCAAATGCCCTTTTATGCACTAAGCAACTCATAAAGGATGGCATGCTAGTAAATAAACTATGAAGAGCTTCAAGGTCTGCAAACTTGGCCTTCACCCATCCACACTGTTCATTAAATACCAGTTCTTCCCTCAAAAAAGAATTGTTATAAAGCTTACACTCACAGGACTATTATAAGGTACAAATGAGAAGCAAACATGAAGTCACGAAATGTGCTTACCAGCCATACTGTGCTGTCAATATTATGATCAATTAACTGTGTGGTCCTCTTCAATATATGCCTCTAATAGTGAACTAGTTAAGCCCTAGTGGCTACCGTTGTGTTTGTGCAGGAAAGAGCTGTGATTGCGTTACACTATCTGTTTTAGAATTGAGACAACAGACTCAGTGTAACTTGAACAGTAATTTATTTGGTTCTTTTTTTTCTTTTATCTTTTATCTGGTTCTTTATCCAGCTTTATGTATTTGAGAGTACCTGGAGGGAAATGTCTAGAAAATTCTGTCCAGAGATTATCAAGGAATTGCAAAGTCTCAGTTATTGGCTTTTTGAATGTTTTAGTTGACTGTTCTCATGTACCAGTAAAAATGGTTGCATTCTTTGCTTCCCAAGAACAGATCAATCCACTCAACATTATTTTATATTTAAAATTTACAGAGCATATATTACAAATTAGACACTTTTTCTTTAGATGAAATAAAAACCTAGCTTATCTTGCAATCATGGAGAATTCAAATATATTAAAACCATCATATTTTTTAATGATTCCCATAGATCCACAGACATTTATCCTATATTGTTACACAGTGTTCCTATTCAAAAGACTTATATCAAAAGCATCTTGGGTCTCATTGCCGTAAAAAGAAAACTTATGAATTTCTCTGGATCCAACATGTTTAGATTCTTTCTTGATTATCATTTCTGTGCCAGGGCTCCTTTTCTCAGTTTGTGAAATGCAAAGCCGTGACGACTATAGAATCAGATGATGGACGGTCCTTGGGCTTTTGTAAATGAATGCTCATGAACAGTGTTGTGAGATTCAAAACATATGCACAATTAGGTTACTTAACGTTTGTGCATGGCCCCAAGCTGACTCTTTAAAAAAGCCTTAAAATTTGAGTTTTGCAGTACTTGACACAGTCCTTTAAAATTCCCCATCCCTGCTCTGGGTTCTCAAATGCTTAAAGCAGTTTCTTTATTAAACCCTGTTTATTTATGCAAAGCAAAGAAATATATTACTCTATGAACCAATCAATTTTAAAATGTAGCAAGTTCGGGAAGATGTAAATATTTAGCATAATAAAAGGTCAAGGTCATCTCATTCACAAATGAATTGTGACCGTGTTCAATTTAAAAGAAAAACAAAATCCGTGGTCCCTTTGGATTAGAAAAAAGCTGAAGACATTTTACTTAGTGAATAACCTTTTGATTGAACCAGAATATAATGATTTACAACTTGAGCTGAGATCCTTAAGCTGCCTTGATAGTCTCTTTTTCATTGCTAATTTGGTAATTTTTTTAAAAGTAAGTACATCTGTGTATAAACTATAACAGATTTGTTGAATATATATGACTTCTTGTTTCTTTTTCCTTTTCTTCTTTTTAAATTTGAGTTCATAAAGGACTTTGTAAAGCTACAACGCACAGCACACGATTAAGGGCTAGACCCAGACTCACCTTCTTTGAACTTGCCTGATAGCTATCATGAGGTGTGTAGGTGGTGTAAATGTGCTAATCTTGAAGCGCCCTCTGCTGTTTCTACAGGATACTGCAGTCACATGTAGCTTTGGGGGAACCGGTCTCAAAGTTCTTCATTAAAAGCCTCAATTAAAATAATGTTCAATCAATAGATTTAGTACTAATGTTTTGTTCACTGTGGACTTGTAAAAAAGCAGTTTAACACTTCCCGATGGTGGGAGCACAACGTTCATTGCAGGGAAAGGAGCAATGGGTCTTTATCTTTGCTGGCGAGCATAGCTTGTGGGCAAGGACACAGCTCCTCTTAGTACTACTGTCTTTTCTTGGAGGTTCTCCAGCATTCGTTAGGATGGGAACTTGCCCAGATTTCTATGGTCTCAACCCAGACAGTTCTTTAAAATATGGTTTGCCTCTCTTAAAAAAAAAGTAGATAGAATTGTTACTGCTTTGCATTGCATTTTCAGAAAAAGATCCCTGGGCCAGTAGTAGATTTTGCTTTTGTGACTAAGCATGCTTCAAAAAGAGGTCCCTGAAAGTCAGAGGACTTGACGTTCCAAAGAAGCTTCCTTAAGATTCTCTATCAGCAGACAGACTTTGATTGCTGTGTGTCTTTTTCAAATTATTGGTCTAAGGCCTTGCATTTTTGACAGGGCACTCAGGTTCTATAGCCTTCTCACTTTGAGATGTTGACTCACCTGAGTGTCTTAAGCTCAGGCTAACACTTTCTTGGCACAAACTAGGAGGTTAACTTTTTTTGGGCAAGACCCCAATACTTTTGATCTACTAGAGTCAACTGGGTAATTTAGAAATTACATAACACTTCACTTTTTTTTTTTGCCATGGCACTCTTAGTGATTTCCAAACTAGTCAAAATGAAAAGAAAGGTTTTGTAAGTCCTATTATAGGAGATTTCCATGGAATAGTTAGCTTAAATGGAGCTTCTAGAATCCTGAGCTTCCGAGTTGGAGGGCAGGGTGGGTTGCTGACAAGTCTATAAATCTAGTATTGTATTTTCTGGAAGCTGAAACACTATCAGTTTTAAGAGGCACCATTACAATTACTATAATTCTAAGATACCATCAAGTATAATGCATCCAATTTCGGAGATGTTAAAATGTGAGAGGGAACGGAAGGGCTAGGATCATGACTCAGAGGGCTAGAGCATCTGCCTAGCCAGCATGAGGTCCTGAGTTCAAGCCCCAGTACCTCCAAAAACCTGAGAGGCCTTAGACCAATAATTTGAAAAAGACACACAGCAATCAAAGTGTGTCTTGGAATCAGTGAAATAGCATGGTTTTTAATGAACAGCCGGTCATGAGCTAATATAGTCTTTATCATAAATTCATGATCTAACTTAACGTTTAAAATACATAATGCTCTGCTCATGACTTCTTGCTTTTTTGTCCTTGTTTGGCTTTTATTTCATTTTGTTTTAAGGAAATAAGCACAAGAATCAGTGTTTTTGTGGGAATAATTCTTCATAGCAGTTTAATTTCTAGTCTGGAGCTTTGGGACTCAAAGGTGCTTATTTGGAAATGTCCTTGTTTGTTTGTTTGTTTTCCTTCTCAGTTTCCAACCTTAATGAAATGCTGTGCTGATGTTTCTGAAAAAAAGAGGCATCTTGACTTTGGTCTAAAAGTAGTGTCCTGCTAGCATTTTTTCTTGTGCTGGGATGTTAAGTTTACTTGTTTTGATGGTATTAATTTCTCTCTCCTAGCACCTGGCAGAGAACAGTACTAATTCTTGCAGCATCTTAGCTTGATGTTGAGGACTCTCTAAATGTGAAAGTGGCACAAACACATCTTTACTGGTAGCTCCCTATGCCCAAAAGTTTCAATTGTTTCTTATCACCCTAAATAATAGAGTTCCATTCAAGACTGTTATATTATGCATCTAACAGGAGAAGTGACCCATGTGCTTTGGCATATTGCAGCATCCACCATCATGGAAAACCAAGATTCAAGGGTGTCTCTGTTAATAGCAGGTGTAGCATAACCTACAGTGAAAAGAAGAGGTAATTAGAGTAGATCCCCGTGTCACTGTCCTTGTCATAGTTATCTAGCTGATCTCAGCCCACGTCTGAAAATACGAGATTAGGGCACTGAACTTTTTATGTTCTATTTGAATCATTAATTTCAGTGTCTCTACCTATGCCCTCTATCAAATATGTGCCTATCAGATATGCTTTGTGATTGTGTATCAAAATAGTGAGATGGTTATTTTTATCTTTCCTTTTTCCATTAGAAAGTATGTTTGATTTCAATGGTCTTCACAGTGGTCTAGCTCATCTTGGTCACTAGCATAATTGTACATTTGTAGCCCCTTCCTATTTATAAAGGTTCATATGTGTGGGCTGGTGGATCAAGAAAGCAAAACATGCTGGGAGTATAGAGATGTATACAACAGCACTTAAATATATTACCCAATTGAATGAAAATAATTTTATTTCCCTCACTATTCTTCTATAACAGCCACACTTCATGTTATATTCTAAAAGGCTGAGTATTTATTTCTTTAAATGTAAAATAGATTCAAATCTTTAGAATCCTGAGGTTAGCTTTGTAATGATGCAGATAGGTAACATAATGATAGAGTACTTAACTGAGGTTAGTGGAGAGGCAAAGCTAAATAATACATGTAGTCCAATTTCAACCATTTGAATTTTCTAATGAAAAGTAGCATATCAAATGTGATAGGCTTTCATTCACAACCCCAGATTCAAAAGTACTTTTCAAGTTTAGCCAGGTAAATTCTCAAAGGTCATATTTTCCACTCAATGTTGCTGTTTCTGAGGCTTCTTGTCAGTTTCTGGGAATTTATCTAAAGTAATAGATTATGTTTACTCTTATTTGTGATTTATAATGATAGTATATTTCATAATCACTAATAAGCTGAGTAATTACTAGTTTGCAATCACATTCTTGTTTTGTGACTCTGGACATGTAACATTGTAATTCAATTTTCTTTTTTTTGTGATTTACAAAATTTTATTTTATTTACTTTATTTTTATTATTATCGTACTGGGGGTGCATTGTGACATTTACCAAAGTTCTTACAATATATCATAGTTGAGTTCACCCCCTCCATTATTCTCCCCTATCCTCCCACCTTCCTCCCCTCCATTCCTGGAATAGTTTCAACAGCTCTCATTTTTCCATTTTCATCTATGAGTACCTAATATTTCCAACATATTCACCCTCCTACACCCTTTCCTTATACTCCTCCCCACTGGTGCCAACCCCCTGTAATTCAGTTTTCATACCTAAATAAAAAGTAATACCATACTTTTAAATTTGAAATTTTTTTTAACTTCTCAAAACTGAAAGACCACAGGCTAGCCCCAGGCACAAGCTGTAGCAATGGCCAGTGTGATCCCCTGCTCGGTCCTCAATGTACTTTTTATCAGGCCTTAGCAATGCTATATTCAAAGAGCCCCATTCTCCTGAGCAGATGGAGACCTCTTCTCCCAGAGGAAGATTCATTGATATCACATTGTTAAATAGGATGAAGGGTCTCCATTATACATCTGTCTCCAAATTTAGCTTACCTGAATAGTTTTTCTTGTTTTTGTCTTACAGATACCCTATGCAGCAAGCTTGATTAGGAAAGAAAAGCTTGGTGCTCATCTCAGCAAGAGCTAGAAGGTAAGATCACCAGAGGAGAGAGATTTTCTTAACAATTCTTGTTATTGCTGACTGCACTCTTTATTGATGTATTTGGAACAGCTCTAGGGATTGGTAAAGCTGAATCCTCTGTTTAAGTCAATATACCAGTGAACTCTGTTATATCTGGGAATAGGACTTCTTAAATGAATGGCTAACTGCTTCTTGACAAATTCCTAAAACTGAGATAATTCTGTATTGATTCTGCAGAAGTGATATTCATTCTGCTTGGAGGTTTTCTTCTCCTTAGGGTTCTGCTTGATGCCCTGTAACTCCCTTCTGAAATGTCAGCAGAAAGGCTGATGGTGCTTCATCTTCTCCATCTCTCCTTTGGTTCCAAAAAGTCTTCCCCAAATCTGACTTTCTGTGTGTGAATTGCTCCAGTGGTGATATGAACGACTGGAGGCAATTCTGACCGGGGAGCCCTTCTGTTCCAAGAATAGCAATTCATTCTTTCTCTAAACCAGTAAGAGTTTCTCATATGAATCCAGGTTCAAGGTCACATCCTTGATAACAATTTAAAAAATAGATAGTCTGAGCACTTCTGAAAAAGCGCACAGTGAAAATTTAATGCCTCTATTTAGAACATGCCTAAGCATTTCCAAAGCCACCTTTTGATTCTATGGAAGAAGACATGTATTTATTAGAATTGTGGGAATGCAAAAACTAGGACGTAGTTGTTTCTGTAACAACATATTGGGATTATCTAACAATTTGAATTGCTAAATCAGGAAAAAAATTAAGATTCGAGAGGTAGAATTTGTTACTGCCCATGGCAAAGTAGAATTGTGGCCATTAATCAATTTGATACAGTCCCAAAATGATTCTTCCCACTCTTTCCCTCTGGAACAGATTTTCCTTCTTTCTTTCTCTTTCTTTTCTTTTGCAGTACTGGGGTTTGAAGTCTGGTCCTTGCACATGCTAGGCAATCACTCTACCACTTGAGCCTCACCCTAAGCCCATAGAAGAATATTTACAACTCAATAGAAGTTATTGGCAAAAAAAAAAAAAACCTTCCTCAGAATGTAGGCTCATGGTTCCTTTTCTTTCCTTCATGCCTGTCTTCTGTATATCACATCTGCTCTCTCATGAGCAGGTGACAATTCTTCTTGCAACATTATTAGTGGCATTTTTTAGTATTTGCCTTCAACAATGATAATTATGGCAAATTTCCTCAACACTCAAAGCACTTTCCAAATCAGTCTTCCACTCCTAGGCTTTCCTTTAATTTTGCACCTAGGGAACTTGAGGTACAGAAAAAGGAGATGTAACATTTTGTCTGTGATGCAAAGAGAAGAAGCAATTCCAGGGCTCCCAGGCTTAGATGCAGTGCCTGTCTACTCCTAAGGCATGGACTTCCTGTTCTCACTGAGCAGGTTTCTGCAACAGCGATGTCCAGAGAGTACGTTATTCTGTTTCTATCTCCATGAAGTTATACATAAATATCCCCATGAGTTTGGCTTTGTTCTATTTACTAAAATATTTTTTACCAAAGCTGAATTTGGACAATTTCTTTTACATTATATCATACCAGGCTGGCACCAGTCATGTGAAATGAAAATTTAAAAACATTCAGATTCCAGTAAATCTAACTAAGGATATCAAAGTAATCAAGGCAAGAATGATTCAAATTAAGTTTTATTCCACATGTTTAATACTTGAAAATGTCAAACTAGGAATTTTCTTTCAAATCAAAGAAAAAATATTAACATGTGTTTTAAAATAACCTTTTTATTAAAGTATAACACACATTTAACAAAGTCTATAAATCATAAAGTTATACACATTATGAAGTCTGTATATAGAAAGGGGTGAATTTCCACAAGATAAACTCACCTATGTTAATGGCAATCAATAACAAACCTGTGCTCCCTGCCCAGTTTCTCATACCCGCTACCTCCAATAAAGGTTAATTTGCCTGCTTTTGAACTTCATGTAAAGGAAATTGTATAGTATGGTCTCTTGCATCTGGCTTCTTTTACTCAGCATTTGTGAGGTTCATCCATTAGACTATGGTTTGATTAATATGTAGGAACTTCAATAAACTCTTTTAACTCCTTCCACTTCCCCATCTCATCTTTTCTTCTTGTCACACATGAGCCCATCTTGCATCTACAAAATGAAGACTCCCTGCCCTGAAACCACACCTCTGATAGTGACATAGCATATGGCTAGGTGGAAAAGAAGAGATTGATTTGTGCTTAGTAACTAATGCTTCCTCCATGCTGATTTTGTTTCCATCCTTGCAGACAACAGGGATTTCTCTAAGTAGACCCTGGTGCTTTCAAAAGATTAGTGGTTACTTAAATGCTTAGCTAAATCAGCCAAGCAGAGAATCACGACCATATTGTTAGAGGCAGTCTCTGATTCTCAACATGCCAAGCCTGCAAGGAGTTACCCCAAGAGAGATTACAAAACAAAATCATTACACCAAGGGAGAGAAACAAATTCTATCTTGTTGAGTGACCACCGGTTTCCAAATTAGGGACTGATGCATTAATGTCTTCTGCAAGAGTGACCCTTAAGGTAGTAAGCTATCTTCTTGCCACCCAGTGGATTCCAATATGACTATTAAGGGGAGGAAGCTTTTCAAAACCACAGGCAATCCACTTAATAAGCAGAGCAAGTACTGCCACATATCACTGCTCCACAAATCTTTTTTGCCCTACATTAGCACATAAGAATTCTATGTTGAGTCAAAATAAAGGTCCACCCAGGCCAAGATACTTACTGTATAATTCTACCAGAAAAATAAATTATTGTTCTTTTTTTAAAATTATTGTTCTTAAGAATAGCAATCTGAAAATTTAGGTATATGCACTGAATACTCTTAACTTGTCCTTGATAAATCCTTACATATTCATTATCCATGGATTTATTTCAGCCTTTCTTCAACTTAGGCATAGACCCCTATAGAGCAATGAATTCTATTTGTTTAGCAACTAATGACTAGCTATACAAAGTGTAGATTGTTCTATTTATCTTCAAACTACTTTCTAAAACAAGGCTGTTAGATTAGACATTGTACTTCTCTGCATATTTGTTGTACTGTGAGCTCATGAGTACATGAGAAGGATTTGAAAATATTTCATAATGTCCTGAGCATCATCCATTGATCCAGCACCCACCCCCTTCTTTTTGGTGGGACTGGGGTTTGAACACAGGGCTTCACACTTGCAAAGCAGGCACTCTACCATTTGAGCCATACATTTTTAACCCCAGAATGATTCCTTGCCTGTAGTTATTTCTGTGACCCAGTCTTACAAAGACACCCCAGTGTAATCTATGTGCCATCTGCACCCCAAATAAAAATGGCATGATGTCAACACTTTCTACTTTACATTCACTTTCTTTCAAGTACCTTAAAAAATTTCAAATATCATTCATGTAACTAGTTGAAATACCCACGTCTTTCACAGAAAAGAATTAAATCACTTTATATGGGAATCATAGGAAATAGATCATTTATAGTCAACTCTTGTTGACCAAGTTGGAAATGATAATACCTATCACTTTTTGGGCACCAACTATGCCAGATCCTGGGCTAAATTCTTTGCTTTGTTGTCCTTGTAATTTACAGCTCTGTAAGGTAAATCTTAAAACTTTGTAAGATAGATCATATTATTATCTCCCATTTCAAAGATGAGAACATCGAGGCTCAAGGAAGTCACATAGCTGGCAAACGACAGAGTCAGGATTAAGTCCTGATCTGTTTGACTCTACAGCCATTTCCCTGCCTTCCTTGGAGCTTTGGAATGATGATGAAGAAGTCTGGGTTCTACATAGGCCACTACTCCCTGTGTTACTTTGAGTAATATCATTTAATCTGTTTGAATCTCACTCTTATCTATAAATTATCGGTGACTGAACTTGATCAAAGTCTCTTCCAGTTTTACAATTTCCCTAGCCATCTTGTGTGCCAGTCTTCTGCACATTCTCTCTCCTTTCTCCCAGAGGGACTGCTTTCATTAAAGGCATGTCAAAGTCATGTTTAACATCCAAGGGATGACCCACCTACTTTTGCCTTATGTCTGCATTTTTTCATCACTAATTGCTACTTTGCATCCTTCTGGAGAGTTTGAAAGTATGTTTTCCCCACCATGTTAACAGTACCATTTTGGTAAATTCCTGTTATGTTTACTTCACTTCCGGAATAATTGTTATAAAGTGATAAAAAGAAAAATATCTTAAAAGGATGTTGAGGAATTACAGCTGAACACCCCATCTTCCTGTTGTATGATCAAAGATGAAGAGTTGGGATGATGTATGTATTCTTTCATCTTTAGTCAGATGTAAGAGGACAAGGTTCTTCCAAAACTCTCTATTGAGAATTGCAAAGTGCCCCCATTGTTAAAAGCACCTTAGGTCAGTTGTCTTACTTTATCTTCAGTAAACTCATTGAGTGAAGTACCACTTCTTCCTCCATCCTACAACTGAGAAAGCTGAAGAGCAGAAAGATAAGCAAGTTGCTTGTAGTCTCGCTGTTAGGCAGTGACAGGATTTGGGCCAGGCTGTCTGGCTCTACAGCCTGTATTTCATTTGCTCTCCTCTAATTTGTAGTCTGAAATCATAGCCTAATTCACATCTTCTATTACAAGTTACAAATATGCAATTAATTACCATTCTAATACTCTTATTGATATTGAATCACAAAATCTCCAGTTGTATTTCTACAGTCTTCCTGATACCCTAAGACTAAATACATCAATAAATAAATGTAACTTGGGCACCCATAGCATGGAATTCTGTTTGCCCTTGAACCACAGGCTGTCTTAATGTTTGCCCAACAACAAAGCGAAGCTTCTAGAATCAGCCAAAACTTTGTTGTAAAGAAGGCATAGAGACCAGCACTCTCTGATTTAATAGTTCCAGTTTAGGTCAGTGTCCTCAGAGATGCATAAGCTAAGATAAGGAAGACATTTTCATATTTACATTTTTAAAAATTGTATTGAAACTGTACTAAAATGTTTTCTTTTGAA